TCTTGGCTAATTTGAAAAACAGTCATCCCGATTTTCTTTTCTGCTTCCTGGCTTTGTTTTCCGATTTATCTTTCTTAAGGGCATTTTAAAATGAAAAATCTATAATTAACATTTCTCTTATAAGAAAACTCACCCAGCTCTGCCCAATCATCACCTCCCCTAAAAAATGTGTTTTTAAACCATTCCCAGCAAAGAGATGTTTTATTAAAATGACTGTAAGGCTTGTGTGTGAAGAAGCATCTACAAAGAATCTTCAGTCTAAAAGGAAGATAGATCTATAAAGGGGGAGAAGATAGGAAATAAATTTGTAAAATTTAGTGTATGGTGGGGGGCAACTCTTGACGCTTAAAGAAGTAGCCCCAAGAAAAAGAAAAGAAAAAAATAGTGAAAATGAAAGTAAGTTTCACAGGTTCAAGAAGGGGTTACAAAAGTGAAAGCATAATGGATGGTAAGAACAGCTGCAGGAGTGTTGAGGTACAATCTTTTGAAGTAATGTGATGGGTGGGCAGTTATTAGCTCTCACATCCTTGGTCTTAATGTCTGAGACACATCATCTTCCAATCAATATGGCACTTTTATGGTCAAGAGTGATAGATGAAGAATCCCTTACCGCTTGGTATAAAAAACTTTCCCCTCCAGCCTATCACAGGTATAGATGATCCTTAAAATGTTCAAAGGACATTCACCCATTCCCTGATTTTCTAGCTGTGAGAAGACAGAAGCCACAGAGAGAAGGTGCAAAGTCCAAAGTCACACAGAGGTACACCGTTCTCCCCTCTCTGTGGGTTCTTAGGGGTTGTGTAATCTGGAGTCCACCATGCGAATGTTATTCTGGGAAGGTTAACACACTGAGCTATTATCATTTATTAACATTTTAAAGACTTTTTTAATGTTTATTTATTTTGAGAGAGAGAAAGAGAGAGTAGGGGAGGGGCAGAGAGAGAGAGGGAGACGTAGAATCTGAAGCAGGCTCCAGGCTCTGAGCTGCCAGCACAGAGCCCAACGCATGGCTCGAACTCACGAACTGCAAGAGCAGGAGATCATGACCTGAGCTGAAGTTGGATGCTTAACTGACCCAACAAAACAGGCACCCTCATTTATTCACATTTTAGTACATTTTATCAAATGTTCTAGTAGTTACCAGACACAGGTCTAAGAAAGTAGACACTAAATAAATACATTGTAATGGGGGTAAAAATACGACAAAAATCGAATGGGGCAGTGAGTAAGTAAAGAAGCCCAGAATATAAACTCTTCTTCACAATTTTGCCTAGGGCTATTTCCTCCAAAAGCTATTTCCTGTTTAAAAAAAAAAAAAAAAAAGTTTTTATCTCCAGTAAGGTATGCTAGGTACGCAGAGGAAAATTCCAGAGCTGTGCACAACTCATGAAAGTCACTAACAACTAAAGAGCAGGAGAAAGGTGGAGGCACTGTGGAGGTTTCTGCTTTCCAACCTGGAAGAAGTGATTTCTTTTGGGTACAGTGAAAAAGACAATATTATGTGGTTACTGAAAAGGACCTCATGATTGCACAAAACAGTTAAAACCAGACTTTTAAGATGAGTTTAAGCATGAGCTACTGTGGGGGAAAAATGTGGGGAGAAGGGAAGGCTCAGAAAATAAGGAAAAAGTTGAGAAAGGGAAAACTGGGGTGCCTGGGTGGCTCAGACGGTTAAGCCTCTGACTTAGGTCATGATCTCATGGCTGGTGAGTTCAAGCCCCTCATCTGGCTCTGTGCTAACAGCTGGGAGCCCGGAGCCTGCCTCAGATTCTGTCTGCTTCTCTTTCTGCCCCTCCACCGTTTGTGTGCGTGCTCTCTCTCTCTCTCTCTCTTAAATATAAATAAACATTAAAAAGTTTTTTTAAAAGAAAAGAAAGAACAAAACTCCTCTCTAACGGTCAGAATTAAAGAGACAGAAACAGTAGAGAGCAAGATTCCAAAAATCCCCTGGCTACTTTGGAGCTGCTCTAATTTTGTTAGCACATCCAAACATGGTATTCAGCTGGTGGGTCTAGGTGCAGTTGGGAGGCCCCAGCAGGAAGTGAAAGAACCGCCAACAGCCCTGGGGCTTCTCAGCCATGCATGGTTCCCTCCATTCTGGGCACAGAGGAGCTACTTGTAGCCTAGCAACCGCGGACTGGTCCCCTTTCACGCCGTATTAATTCGCTTCGATACAAACTGCACAGTGTTAGGAGGACACAGAGTACAAACTGGACAGAAGTGAATTTTGGATTCATTCTCTACCCACTCTCTGCCACAATACTGCAGCCCCAGCACCACCCAATCCCCCAGTGCCTTGGCTCCCCCAGGCACAAGGAGAGGGAGCCAGTCCCAGATCTCATACCTGGGCACTGGGAAAACCCAGTGAGGATGGTTAGAAAGCCTCCCATGTGAAATAGAAGGCATTTGAAGACAGAGACCTGGGCCTGTGGTTCTCCACAGAATGAGAAGAGCTGTCTATTGGCCATGCCTGGCTGCTTCCACCACTGAGAGAACTCTCAGAGATCAGCCCACCCCCATTATGTGGCCCATAAAAATGTGCTCCCTTGAATCTTGTTTTTTGGGCTGATAAGTCTCCAGAAGGGGACTCTACACAAGGCAATGACTTTTACATAGAATTTCTACTTTTCTACGTGCCTAAGAGGTATTAAGTATACCAGGGGATCAGGGAGAAGTAACAGCTCTGAGTCAGGAGGGGCCAAACTGCATCCCAGTTCATCTACAACTATCTTACCTCCCTTGATTATTTTCAGTCACCCTCCAAAGTCACTAGGCTCCAGCAGGCACCATTTACAAGGCCTTCATCACATGGACTGGTCAGCCAGGCTTGAGAGGGCAACCAAGTCTGAGAAATGCTAGGATGAGCCTGCACTGGCCCAAGAAGTGTGACACATGGGTCAATTTAGACCTGGAGGTCAAAGGCCTCCATGAACATGCTTTTGGAGCTTCTGTACCCAAAGAAACAAATGGAAATATCCCACATATGCTGAACAAATCCCCAAACTGCCCCTCCAAACCAAGGGCAAAGTGAGAAAGAAAGAAAGAAAGGAAGGAAGGAAGGAAGGAAGGAAGGAAGGAAGGAAGGAAGGAAGGAAGGAAGAAAGAAAGAAAGAAAGAAAGAAAGAAAGAAAGAAAGAAAGAAAGAAAGAAATGTGAGGCATCCAGGAGAAGCACAGGGACATCATTTATAAAGCCCCGATCAGATTCAGACAAGGTTGGGAGCAAAGAGTGACCTTTGGAACACCTCAACAGGTCCTTGGAAAAAAGTACCCTTGAGCCACTAAGAGCGGTCCCATCACGTCTCACTGCTGGGGAAGGCAAGGAGAGCCTAGCAAGCAGAAGCCACCAAGAACCCGCATATCTCTTCTTACCCCACTTAGAATGGCCGATATTCATGAACGTGATGTGACAGCTTAAATATCATCATTCCAGATCATTCCAGAATCTATGTTTAACTTAGAATTCATCACTGGATTATCTTAAAGGCTTGGACATTGTCAAAGAAAAACCAAGTTACTGGAGTAAGGGAAGGGTCTGTGCTTGCTAATAAGCCCAGCCTGAGTGAGCCTACAGTGGGAGACACCCATTTCTGAAACATGACATGGTGGCTTTTAAAAGGCAGCTGTGATTTACACACTGCCTAATTCCAGGGCACATTTTTTACATCATGGTCAAGTCAAATCATAGTCCTGCGAATAGCACCCCCCTATTGTTTTGCAGCATACAACCTGCATAAAAACAAAGGTGGACGTGTTCAGGAGGGACACAGGCATCATTTATAAAGCTCTTTTGTACTCTGACACAGCAGCCATACTGGTTTAGGACTGTACATTTGTTGCAGTGAAACTACAGTTCAGACGTAGCCTGGGTATGAGAGAGGAAAAAATAATACCCACCTCCCTTCCAACAAACTTTATTATGACTACCTCAAGTGACTAAGTGATTCTAATAGAGCTTTCTCTTCTCTCTTCCATCCTCTGGTCTAAAGAGAGAAGAAATGCCAAAAATGGGGCAGGCACAGGCACACAAAACAGCAATAGGCCTAAATACCCCCAAACTGTGATGCTGCCCTTACAATAATGAGGTTGGAATGTGGCTCCCAGGAGGCAATCCTGGAATCTGTGACAATCCAAGAAACTGTGACAAATCAAAGTTCTCTCTTCTACCATAGCAGGTACCAGATTTCAGTTCTCAAAAAGAAAATAAAGCAAACATATATACACAAACACACCCAAGAAGATGGTGTGGGGAAGGGAGAAGGAAAAAGCATCTTTTCTTTCTGCTCAGAAGGAGACCACTGTTTCCAGGTGTTGCCTATTTAGAAGCATTGAATGTCAGCCCCACTGAAAAGCAGCGTATTCCCACAGCTCACAGTCCTAGATTAGCCACCACATAGGAGAGGGGCTGTTGGAAAGGAAAGCCGACCCAGAAAAGCTCAGGGAGGCTTCAGTCCTCCACCGAAGATAAACACAGGCTCACAATTCGTTATCTACCATCCCCAAATCCAAAACACTCTGAAAACTGAAAAATTTCAAGTCAGTCATTTGGTGGCAAATCAAACCTGACCTCATCCGGTGGCAAAACGTGAGCTGCACTACATAAGATCATTTGTAGTCTGTTTATCTCACTTTGTGTGAATACTCTTACGTTTCACTGATGAAATAATGAGCTTGAGTACGGAGTACTGACCCTAGGCCCCTCTGAGGATGTTTTTATATATATGTACCCGATTACCTTCCTAAAAAAATTCTGAATTTAAAAACCCATCTGGCCCCGAGGGTTTCAGATAAGAGGAAAAAGACTGTAGACCTATAATAGGATGACGTAAGACCTCTACAAAAGTTACTGAAGGCCTGAGAGAGTCAGATTACCCCCTGGTTGTTCCAACGTGAGAAGCTTCCTACACAGGCCAGACTGCAGCATTATTTGGCAACACTGTGTTAAAAAAGGGAAATCGATTACGCAGTGTCCTAATTTCATGTTAAATCCTGGTTTCCTACCTTCACATATTCCAGGGTTGGGTCCAGAAGATGCTGATCCCTGAAAAGAGAAAATGGTAAGTATGAGAACTGAGAACAATGCATTCTTGCACTGAGTAAAACGTATCCAACATTAATTCCCCCTATTCATTCAGATTATTAAGATAGGCCCACCTCCCCAGCAATACTCCCAGCAGACAGATAAGGAAGTTAGAACAAATACAGATTCCTTTCATGGTGTGTGTTGGGGGTAGGGGTAGATGGTAGGACACCACCATAATTTCTGTTTAGAAGCTCCAAGTGCTTTATCACATTCAGGCTCCAAATGTTAGACTTCCATGTAGTGAGTCTACTTTCACTCGAGCATAAAAATTAGCCTAGAAATCTGAAGGAAAGAACACGGAGGATAGAGGTGGGTGTAAAGCAGGACTGGATGCCCAAATGAGGGGTACTCTGGATCAGACAGCTGTATCATGCTCACTTTGACAGAAGAAAATGGAGACTGAGGTGGGCCCAGTGGCTATCCAAGGTCACCTAGCACCAAGGGGAGAGGATGGAGTCTGTATACCCAGCTTTCTAGACCACATTTGCCTTTTTTTTATTGCTGCCTCCATTACCCACCCACCCCTGGTGTCAAGCAGAGAAATCCATCCCATTTTCTTTGGCACCCAAGTATTCTTCTCTCCCTATCTAATGTCTGCTCGTGTCTGTCATAATATGATGCTGGAATTGACCAGAGAGTGAAAAGTAAACAACAGCAGGTGGCCTTAAGGAGGCTGACTTCTTACAGAAAGAAGAGAATCTGACTAGGCCAAAGGAGAGGAGGGGGAGACGTGAGAGTGGCCGTTTTCAGTGCTTGCAGAGTTATAATGAGGTGGCCCCTCAACAGAAGGTGTGAAAAGACAGCTGCCTTCAGTCTTAAACTTCAGAAACTCAACACATCCTCACAGAGACAGCATCATTTTGAAAGGACAGAATGGCTGTGAAGCCTGTAAGAGTAGTCTTCTCAAGGGAGTGGGCCTTAGTGTGAGGGTGAGGGTCTCTCAGAAGCCCTACTGATAAGCAGCTTCCTCCACAAGGGTTGGCTCAACCCCCAAACCCGTGGGCTGTGACACTTCCCTGGCAGTGGAGAGACCTCGAAAGATGGCAGCACTTCTTCCCAGGACAAGAGAGAAGGTCACTGCCGGAGCACAAGGAGTCCCAACCCCACAGCTCAGGGATACCACTCCCAAAGCCATGCTTGGCCTGGTTTGACCGTCCATTCGGGACTACGCCCAGGGCACCTGCACAGAGGCAGCGTGGCATCTGAGATGCCCCTTTCCACGTCAGTGGATTAGGTTCTGGAATGAGTCCCTTTGCAGGGCCAAAAGATCTGAGAACAGCATAAGCTCTCTGTCCCTGGGTGCATTCCCATTAAAGAGGGCTATAAACCTCGAAGCCTTAAAACTCTTTGCCTTCAAGTTCATTTATCCGGCATCCAGAGTCCATCCGCTGTGCCAGGTCGTCCCTTCTCCTGCCACATGCTCTGGACACCATCTCAGTGTCACCAGGCTTTGCATCCACGGAACCATCTGGCTAGGGACTCAAAATTTTGTCCACAGCACTTGGGCTGTGCTCCCTTTTAAGTTCTTGAACCCCTGTTTTTCTACTGAACTAACATTTCAGGCATATAGCCATCTAGTCTTAGGTTAATCATCTTGCCCAGAGGTCTGGCCTTGTGAGGGCAGAAAGATGTTAGAACTACTGAAATGCTGTTCTCTTCAAATTTTATTTTATTTTTTTAATTTTTTTTTTTTTTAACGTTTATTTATTCTTTGAGACAGAGAGAGACAGAGCATGAACGGGGGAGGGTCAGAGAGAGGGAGACACAGAATCTGAAACAGGCTCCAGGCTCCGAGCTGTCAGCACAGAGCCCGACGCGGGGCTTGAACTCATGGACCGCGAGATCATGACCTGAGCCGAAGTTGGCCACTTAACCGACTGAGCCACCCAGGCGCCCCTCAAATTTTATTTTTAAGTACACTTAAAAATGTGTGTTATGGGGTCACCTGGGTGACCGAGTCCGTTGAGTGTTTGACTCCTGCTCAGGTCATGATCTCGCGATTTGCCCACTCCTGTATGGTGGGCAAATGGGACTGAGGCTCAAGGTGAGAGAGAAAGGGGGGCGTGTGATGGCTCAGTCAGTTAAGCGTCCGACTTTGGCTCCGGTCAAGATCTCACGGTTCTTGAGTTCGAGCCCCACATCAGGCTCTGTGCTGACAGCTTGGAGCCTGCAGCCTGCTCCGGATTCTGTGTCTTCCTCTCTCTCTGACCCTCCCCCACTTGTGCTTTGTCTCTCAAACATAAATAAACACAGAAAAAAAAAATTTTTAGTGTATGTTACGTACATTTATACATACATGTCTTCATCCATGGATAAATAGTATAGGTATGGGCAGTTGAAGTCAATGGTTCCATATGTTTTTGGTCTCAGGATCTCTTCACACTCCAAATTACTGAGGACCCCAAAGAGCTTTTGTTTATGTGGGTTATATGTACTGATTACTGATATTAGAAATTAAACAGAAATTTTCAAAATATTAATATTAAAAAAATAAACTTATATAAACAATTTTATTACAAAGAGACATGTTTTCATAACAAAAATTTAGTGAGACGAATGACACTGTCTCACATTTTTGCAAATCTTTTTCATGTCTGGCTTATAGGGCAGCTGAATTCTCATATCTACTTGTCTATTCAGTATGTTGTGATAGGTCTTGGTTTAGAAAAAAGTCCATCCTCACATAGACACGTAACTGGAGAAGGGAGTGGTATTTCATTTCCAGATACTTATGGCTATTCTTGATACCATACCAAAACTCAACAAGTGGTAATTTCTAAACGATCAGTTGTAACGCGGTATCTTAAACCATGTCTGGTACTCTTTTGCATCTATCTTGCACCTTGATTGGGCCTTTTATCCATGTGTGATTCTGTAACCACTGTTCTGGAAAATACTGGTTCACTGAGTTATGCAGTTATTCTAAGTTTTGACACATTTCATTAGAATATAAAAAAAGAATCACATTTGTTAATATCATCACTGATCTCATCAGAACTTATAAAGCCTTGGGAAATATCAAGCTCATGGAGGAGGATATAAGTTTTCCAAACTTCTAACTTTCACTTGAAACTTTGAATTTTTTCACTGGCAGCTTACACTGTCAAATATTTTCCTTGAGCTTCATTTCATTCATTTTGGAGAATGTATTTGCCAAATACCGAGACCATATAGTCATGGTTTGCCATTTTAACTCTCCTTTTTTAGTGCTCAAATGTCATCCTTTTCGTAAATTCTTTTTAGCATTTTGTCCAGGATCTGCTCTTCTCACCAGATTTAGCTGTAAAATCCTTTTCCTTTCACCTCTGAAAGTTGAAAAGTTCCTCTCTTCCTTTCTCTAGACACATATCTGAAAACTCTCTGAGCTGGTTCCCTCAGAAGAGATCCTTCTAACTGTCTCAGGCAGAAGTGGGGTGACCAACGGGCCAGGCCAGGCACTGTGCCCGGGTGGCTCCTGAGGCCATGCTGATCAGCAGGACCCGCACTCAGAGACAAGACCGCCTAGGGGCATAGCAGCCTGTGCGCTCCCATCCAGGGAGCCTGGGGTGCTCTCCAAAATGCCCCCCACCTTAGATGAACCTCGTTCCTCTTTGATCCTTTACTGTACACTTCTCTGGGCACAAGAGAAGAAACTGGAGGCTCTGGTGAGGGATAAAACTCAAGGCCCCTCTTGACCCTGCCCCCAACTGAACTCTGCTAAGGGAGCCTTGTTCATTCTGCTTCAAGAGCAGAGGGGAATCCAAATGTCCTCAGATTCTAGTTCTGTGCTCCCGGGGGTGCCCTCGAGAATCCTCATGTTCTCTGTCTCCTTTTTAGAGAGGCAAGGAGGGGACACAAGGAGATATAATGAAGCCAAGTAGGTGTGTTACAAATCCAAAGGCTTTAAAAATCATTGCCTTGAACTAAATTAAAATGATGTTTATAAGCAGAAGTGCTGTCTCCTTTCTCAGCCAGTCACATCATCCCGGCTAACCAAAGATAGGAGCTAGAAAACATAGCAGTTGGCCCTGTAGCCCCAGCCTCTAATTTGAAATAGAATATCCAATTATTCATACAAGTCTGTGCAGCAAACACTCCTTAAGCCACAGATTTATATTCTCTGACAGAGATCACTAGAAAACAAACAGAGGGACTTGGCAATATAAATGAAAAGCTTTTTTTTTTGTTTTATTTTGCTTTTGCACATTATGAATCCCACCCATGTGAATCCATGATGTCGTGTGCATCTCTTCTTACACCTGGTGAGGCTGGCAGGCGCCCATGGGCCCTCTGTCAGGCATGCTGCCCCGCAGGGCACGGTCCACAGACCGCAGGAAAGCAGCAGAATGAAACTGGACTCTCTTGTTATTTTGTTCTCAAGTTTATTAAGTTTTAAATAACATCACTATGTTTATGCCAGTTAAATTATCCTCTCCAGCACTCTGTTTTCCTAAGTTCAGACTGAGGGATGTGTGGTCAGAAGCCACAGAAATGGGGTCTTTCCTACTTCAGTTTGTTTCTCATCAGTAACCAGGTTCAGAGTTCCTCCCTCTTAAGAGGACACTTGACCTACAGGTAAGCTATTTGGAGTTACTCAACTATCTTGAGTAAGTATATAAGCAAAATTTCACTACCACAGATCTTTTCTGAGTGCTTGGCATACAGATGAGAAACGAAGCACCCTACATCTGTCTTAAATTATAAAATGCTTTAAATGAATGAATGTTTTGACTTCTTTAAATATTACAGAATAAATTGATGGCTAACAGTGTTGCCAAACAAATGTCCTTTTGGAAATAACATAAAGAGGAATCATTTGTAATAAGACGATTCTTTCATGCAGTGGAGGGATGAGAGAAACTAGATCCAACTGTTCCCGACTGAGTAGAAAAAAGGCTCCACGCACACCAGTAATCTGCAGAGTTGGCTCCCCTCCTTGGTGCACACGGCATGGTATTTGCATTCTGGTTCATTCTATC